AAACTTGCAAACTTGATTTCTCAATGGTTTTTAAAAAGCAGCAATTATAACTGTCAGCTGGCATCTTTAAGAAGTCTTCCTTTAATCTGAAGTGTCCTTCTTGCTTCCCACTGCAATACCTGAACCATTTCTTTTTCCTATTTCCTCAAACCTAGCCCCTTTGGTACCTCTGAAGTTCTGCTCATTAACTTTATACCACTGATTTCCCTTATCACTGCTATTATCTATCAGCACCCAGATTCAATCTTTTAGTTGGTGACTGAAGCTCCTATTTCCCTGTCTCTCAAAAATATCACTTTTACTGGGGGAACTTCCATATCCATATAGATAATCAGCTCATCCAAGACCTCCCAGTTTCTGGACTGCCTAGCTGTCAATTTCCGTCCATCCAAACTTAGTCATAAATTCACAGGGTCATAACCTTATTTTTGTCTTTATTTTCCATGAATATCTAGAGTGTCCTTCTTCTATCCACCTTCTCTATCCACCTTAGGGTTTTTTTGTTCATCACTTTCACTACTCCATGCAACCACTCCCTCAACTCCAGGTTTCTCCCTTCCTCTCTTTCTTCCTTTCCTTCCTTTTCCTCTTCATTCATCTCTGCTATTATACTCTCCATATCTTCCATCCACTTTCTCACTTACCTGGCAAAACTAAATTTGTAATTAAACTCAAGCATCTGACTTCTTAGTATCTGAGCCTAGAAGGTTGCTAGGGGGAAATCATATCTGCTTGCTGACTGTTCACACTTCAAATTCATAACCATAGATCTCATATGGGCACATAATTGTCTGCCTCAGCATACTGTCCCCATTTTTATCCTTGGACTACTGTTTTTTCCACTATGTAAAAGTGCTATTTAATATTTGGACCTTCTTCCTCAAACTTTCTACATTCCTTCTTTCTATCACACTCTCAATTGACAACCAACCTCAGTATTCATGGAAATGATAGGGGATATTAGTGAGAATCTTACCATCATTGAATTTACAAATCAGCTAGCTACTATAGTTGTTCTCCCATTTTGTTTGTATAATGGCAAAGCACAGACATTGGAGATACTGTATTTTACTTAACATCTTGCCGTGCCACTTCCTAGCTCATGAACATGGACAAATTATTTAACTCCTCTGTGCTTTAGTTATTTCCTCAATGAATTGATAATGACTTAAGTCATTATTAAAATGGATGAAATATTTGTCCCCATGTAAGGCTAACACCTTTGTGCTGGATTTTATCCTTTCTCACCTTTTCAAGACATTTTGTTCTTTTTATGGTATTGGTGATTGAATCCAGGGGTGCTTAACCACTGAGACACATCCCCACCCTTTTTTATTCTGAGAAAGTGTCTCACAAAGTTGCTGAGGCTGACTTTGAACTTGAGATCTTCTTGCCTCAGCTTCCCCAGCCACTGGGATTATGGGCGTGTGTCACTGCACCTAGCTGACCTTTTGTTCTTGAAATTATGCTCTCCTTCCACTGCATCCTAATATTTTTGTTTTCACTTTATCAAACATTCTTTGATCTTCTTTTCTGGGAAAAGGCCTCCCATGAACTCACATTTTATTTCATACCATCTTCTATGCTCCTCTGTGCAGCAAAGGCAGTTGCAAGTAATATCTAAAGTCACATCATTTCCTTTATTCCTTTTTTCTACTCAGCCTACTTTAGATAGGCTTTCTAAGTGATGGAGTACTCCATTCTCATGAGATTTTTTTAAAGAATTTAACTCTTATTTAATTTATTTATTTTAATGTGGTGCTGAGGATCGAACCCGGTGCCTCACACATGCTTGGTGAGTTCTCTACCACTGAGCCACACCCCCAGCCTCTCGAGAGATTTTTAATTTCCATTTTCTCAGTGGACAGTCTCAGCTAGTTTTGTGAATTTAAGATATTATCTGTTTGTCGGTCAATCCCAAATATATTTCCAAATTTTATCTCTCTTAAGCACATTATCTCTAATTACTTGCCAACTATACTGAGATGTCTCATAGTCATCTAAACAGCATCAAAATGTGACTCTGGAATCTACCCTAAATCTGCTTCTGTCACAACAACCCCTTGTGACAGATTACAATTATAATGCTAACTGCCCAGCTGCTTAAACAAAAAATTTGTGTGTCATTCAATTCCTCTCTTATGTTTAACCTCCTCATGTCAAATGCATCAGCATGACCAATTGATTATTCTTGCCTCTAAAGCATAACCACTAGAATGTAAGTTTCATCAATGAATTGAATTTGTTTATTCTGTTCAACAATATTCTAAGGATCTAGATAGTGCTTGGCACATAGTAGGAAGCAATTAAATATTTGTGAATTAAATGAATGATCTTGAATCTATTTTCTTCCATTCTCATGACCAATACCTTATCACTACCATCTCTTACCTGTATTTCTAGGATAACCTCCTAACTCATCTGTTGCTGCTACTCTTGATTCCATGACTATCCATTCAGCCTCTTTGCAAAAGTTGAATCTAACCAGAGATCCTATTCAGTTAGAATAAAACACAATCCTTTATGCTCTAACAGTATAATACAAGTATGAATTGTCTGACATACAATCAGTGAGCCAGTGTAGTGTTTCTTAAACTTATCATGTGAATCATGTGATATAATTATTAAGCATATAGTTTCTTGTGTACCTCCCCAAACTTTATCAATCAAGTGTCTTCAGGGGAGTTCACTAAGAATTTGATTTTTCCATAAGAGTCTGAGATGAGTCCTATTACCATAGGGGTAAGATTGGCAAAACCTGGGTAGTATTAGAGCATAAAAGGGATTTCTGAATGACATAACCCACTGGTAGTTACTGTGTGAGTTGTTTAAACTCTGTATTGTTTGTGTGCTGAAATACCATCACAATCTAATATTTTTTTATGTGGCAAAGTGACTCTGACCTTGTGCCACTATGTACAGGACTTTTGTGGATGGGTTGAAGGAATGGTTAGCACCAACAGGGAGGCAGAGAGGGAAAACTTGATAAAGGTCCAATATTAAGAAGTAATGTACACCAAAAAAGTATATTTATGCTATGTTTGTTTTCTTTAGGCTGTGGTAGGACAAAAATGTTTGAAAACATAACAAAGAGTATTAGATGGCAGCCAGTAGGATATATTTATCTTTTTTAGAGTATATGCAGAAAACCTTTTGGGAGATGCAATTAGGACTTCAGCTCACACACATATAAACTCCATGTAAGCAATATATAACAACAAACATTCAACTTTACATCTAGAATTTTGGAAGTAATGATTGACAGTGAAACATTTTGGTTTTGCTTTAACAACGTAGCATGTAAGTACAAATTCATCAGCAGGTTCAATTTATCAAATTTTAGGGGGAAAGATTTTTAAAAATCTATTATACTTAAAATTTATTTATTTTTATTTGTTCTTTTTAGTTATACTATACTTAAAATTTTAACTTGATTCTCTAGCAATATTATTACAAGAGGTAATATTCTCTTATATCCAAGGGCATGTTTCCCTCTCAGAGTCTGAAACAGAAAACAGGTGTAAGCCTTCTGGTATCTTATATGAGATTTGGTCATAAACCAAAACAGTGCTTTCCAAACATGTCCATGTAGTAGAATTGCCTGGGGGAGCTGCAGAAATACTGATGCCTATATCCTATCCTGAAATGGGGATTTAATTGGTGTGGGATGTGGTCAGGAAATTAAAACGCAACTGATTGGGCAGGGGTTGTGGTTCAGTGGTAGAGTGCTTGCCTCACATATGTGGGGCACTGGGTTCAATCCTCAGCAATATATAAAAATAAATAAATAAATAAATATGAAAAAAATTCTTAAAAAATACATAAAACCTAGTTGATTCTAATATGCAGATAAGTTTTAGAGCTGCTGAACTGTATTTCTATTTTTCCATTTTCTATTGGTTTATGTCAGTTATACATACCATTAGGATTCATTTTGGCACAATTATAAATGTATGGAATATAATTTGCCCTAGTTTGGTCACCAGTACTTCCCCTTACCCTAGTCCTTTCCTTCTCCTGTTCCCTTTCCTCTACTCTACTGATACTTCTGCTATTTGCTTGGGTTTTTTTTTAAATTAGTGTCTTGTACATATACATGATGGTTAGAGTCTGTAGTATATTCATATATTACATAGGAAACTTAGGTCCAATTCATTCCACTGTTCTTTCCTTATTCTGTCCTTTCTTCCTGCCCCTCAATCCCCTTCTTGCACTCCAATGATCTTTCTTCTATTTTGATGGAATCCACCCCTCCATTTCATTCCCCCCTTTATTTTGTACTAGCTTCTGCATATCAGGGAAAACATTTCACCTTTGACTTTCTGGGTCTTGCTTATTTCACTTAGCATGATAGTCTTGAACTGGAGATCTTGAGGTATATATTTCAAACCTCAAACCTCTGGATAGTGTAAGGCTTAGGTTTCTACACTGTAGTTGAGGCAATAAGATCAGTTTAATTGGATATGTCAAGTTGCAGTCTACATGATGGACATGCTATTACCATGAGGGCATTATTTACATAAAACCGGAACAATTGATAAAAATAAGTCAATCAGATCAGTTATGTGCACACATGGTCACATACACAACATTCAAAATAGCAAGAATTTTAAAGTAACATTTTCAAATTGGGTATACATACCTAATTGGAGTTGCCAGATAAAATATAGAGAGCTCAGTAAAATTTGATTTTCAAATATACTAAGAAAATTATTCTTTAAGTATATACTATGCAATATTTGGGGCATATTCATAATAAAAATTGTTTATTTATCTGAAATTCAAGTTTAACTGCATTTCCTGTATTTTTGTTTGCCAAATCTGATAATTCCATCCCAAAATTTAAAAGACTGATTTGAATAACAATAAACACACTAAGACAAAATTAGAACACAGATTAACTTCAGCTTCTTGGTCATTCTGTGTTCTGTTTTCTGAATTATATTGCCTGATTAATCACCCCAGATTGTACATAACTTTGTACTGAGGGCCCACTGTACCTTATTCTGTCTCTTCTGTCTTCTTCGGAGGCGTAGGAACTCCTTGTGTTGCCTGGAGACAAAGTTCACCGCTGCATATTCCAGTAAGGCAGCAAACACAAACAGAAGGCACACTGCCATCCAAATGTCGATTGCTTTTACATAGGAGACCTGAGAGAGAGAAAGGGAGAGAGGTTTGGGGAGAGAGAGAGAAGCAATGAAAACTTTCAGGAAAATCAGATTCCTAATGGTGTGAGCAGCAGAATAACCTCATTTCCTGAGTCAAAGATTTTCTATCCTTTCCCTAAGAAAGTCGGTAAGCTATTGTGAATAGTTCTGCAATAAATGGCCTAAATGTTCATCAACAGAGAAATGGGTAAAGATAATGTGGGGCTGGGGATATAGCTCAGTTGGTAGAGTGCTTGCCTTGCATGTACAAGGCCCTGGGTTCAATCCCCAGCACCACAAAAAAGATAATGTGGTATATATACACCATGGAGTCCTATTCTGCCATAAAAAGGTAGAATTGTATTCATTTGCATCAACATGGATGGAACTAGAAGATATTATGTTAAGTGAAATAAGTTAGGCACAGAAAGGCAAACCCTTCATGATCTTACTCATGTGATATCTCAAAAAAATTGGTCTCAGAGAAGTTGAGATTAGGATAGTGGTTACCAGAGACTGGGAGAATAGGGGATTGGTGATGTTGCAGAGAGATGGATAATCAGGTGTATTGTGATAGGAGGAATAAATTCTGATGTTCTGTGTTATGTACAGGTGGATATGAATAATAATGATATATAGCTCAAAGTAGTCAGAAGAGAGAATGTTTAGTTTACTTATCAGAGAGAGATGATAAAAGGTTATGGACATGCTAATTACCTTGAGTTGATTATTACTCAATATATACATGAATCTGAACATCACATAGTGGGGTGGCAAGTAGCTCTGTGATAAAGCATACACTTAGCATGTATGAGGCCCTGGGTTAAATTCCCAGTACCAAGGAAAATAATACCTCAAAACATCACATTGTACCTCATTAGTATGTAAAAATACTGTGTGTCAATCAAAAAGTTAAAAAAAGATTATGACATCTAAAATGTAAGTGAATAAGTAATGCATTGGTTCTACTTAGAAGATCCTGGGCAGAGCAGTGAAAGTCACATGGCCCCCTGCCCTGTTTGCTTTGTTCCATCTTTCTCAGTATAGCCTGACTGCACAAGTAGCTTCATCCCTGCTCAGTATAGCCCGACTGCTCAAGTAGCTCCAAATAGGTTTTAACTGTTCTCACTACAAAATCTGTTTAAGTAAATGCATATGTTAAATAGCTTGATTTAGCCATTCCACGATGTATAGGTATTTCAAAACATTGTGTTGTATAAGTATACAAAATTTTTACTTATCAATTAAAAATATAAGATCTCTTTAATAAAAAAGAGAAAAATAAAACTTTCAGGTAAAATGAAGAGGACCCTATTTTTAAAACTGCTCACTTCCTTTTAGTCTTTCTGACATCTAAAAATAAGTATAATTAAGATAATTTCAAACTTGAATGAGAAATAAACTCTGCATAGCCTTAGGCTTTTTAAAAACCAATTTGTAATTTCCATCTATTTATTGATGGTGACATGACAACAGTTCTAAGTAGTATTAAATTCACACAGTTCAAGAGTATTCAACCAAAAGATCAGGGCTCTAACCTTGAGAAGGTATCTGGTAAAAAAAAGGAAACTATATTTTTAGCCCTTTGGTGTTTGGTTAAGTGTTTAGTAAGTCTTATAATTTAACAATGCAGATTCTGAAAGCAAATACTTTTTATTTGCCAAGGAGAATATCCCCTTTGTCACTCAATTTACAATTATTTTTTAAAGTATAGGGAAGAAAAGAAATGAATAATATTGTATCATTGGATCCCAGATTACAAAAGACACTTTAAAAACTGCCAGGTGAGTATACTATTCAGTTCTAATTTTTATATAGGCTTTTCTAAATTTTTATATTGTCATTAAGTGATTGCTAGCCAGCATTGTAAATATTGAATATGCATTAATTTTGACCCTCAAAACAATTTATTGCCTCATTTGCTAATGAGGAAACTGGAGTACAAAAGGGCTGAATTATTACCCAAGGTCACAATGCTAACAAGTAACAGAGCCACAATTAGAATTGAAACTTTATCTAACTAATGTATTTCTTTTCTGAATATAAACATACTATTAGTTTGTATCTTGCATTTCCCTTTGGCCTGTATAGTATTTCCAATGTCATTTAACTTTTTTCTAAATCATAATTCTCAAGGCTTGCGTAATGGTGCATGCTATGATTAATCATTTTACATTATAGGATATTTAGTTTATTTTCTATTTCATTTTTGCGAATATTAATTTTGTTGCTGTGAACATTTTCCACCCTCATTTGACTGTCTCAGCTTATTTGTTAGATAAGTTTTTAGATGAATTATAGGAGTAAATGATAGAAAAATAGACTCTTGACTTAGAAAGTTAGCAGTGGCACAGAGGACTTAAAAGCAGAACTCTGGAGAGAAATATCCCAAGTAAGAATCACAACTTTGCTGCTGACTATATCTCTAACTTCTGCAAGTTGTATAACCTGTAAGATATGAACAATCATAGTATTTACCTCATGGAGTTGTTATGTAGATAAAACCACTTAATATAAGTAAAGAGCTAAAACTAGTGTCAAGCACAGTGCTATATAGATTGTTTGCAACTGTTTGTCTGTATAAGGGTGATTTTGTTAGTGGAAGAGATTTGAAAAAGATAAGTATTAACAAGGAAAATAAAAATCACAATCCTATTGTATTCTAATTATTTAAGATCACCGCCTGCCTTGCTTACATTATTTGTTTCAGACAGTTTAAACTACTTGTCAGTCCCACATATGCTGTGACACAGTGGTCTAGCACTTTGTCATCTCTAGCCCTTTAAATATATCATTCTTCCTACTTAGGATGCTTATTCCCAATTTTTGTGTGTGTGATTAATGGACTCCTCAGCATCTGGCACAAATACCCACTCCCTCAGGAAGCCTCCTTAACCTTCTTTCTTCCTCCCTTCTGAGTTAGGGGCCATTTTTTCTTTATTATTTTATCTCTATTGAATTTGTCTGTTCCTTCTTAGTTCACCTGCTTCCCTGACCCTATCCATGGACTGCAAAAGTATTTTTTATTTGTTTGTTTGTTTTAGAGGACTGGCTCTGTGCAATATTACTATTTGTATCACCATCACAGGTCCTGACATTAGCTATTTAGGATGAATGGATCATTGAATGAGTAAATAAATGAAAGAAAAAAAGGAAAGAAATATCAAGTTTTCTGCATATTTGTGCTTGAATTTCAGTAATTCTCAACTATATCCTATTATCTATAATTGCATATATTTGAAACTTCTCTAAGAGAGGTATATGAGCAATTTTGAATTCTCTCAACACACCTCGCATTCCCAGAAAATTTTAATAAGCAATAATTTTATCTTGTGCTGCTCTTCTGGGGCAATCCCGCTCTCCTGTAATAACAGAACATTACCAATCACAGTATTCCCGGTTATTTATTATTCAGATGGCCTGTAAATGTTTTAAGACCCAATAAAGAGAACAATTTGTCAGTGCCTAAGATATGTCCATACCAAGAACTATATCCAATAGAATTGACCATCATTCCTCCCTTTCCTGATGTGTACAATATTCAGTAATTTGTAGACCTTTTCCACAACTTCTTCTGACCATCAGCAGGCCACATATGTATTTGACCTCATTTTAGCTCCTCATAAATGAATTCTTTTAGTCTCTTAATCATTTTGGTTGGTCTCTGAGTTTCCTCCAAATCACGAACATCTTTCCAGCATTGAATTGCTGGCATTAAATGCATTATTCACACAGTTTTAGAGGGTGTTGTGAAATGCCTATTACATACGATGTGATGTGATGCCCTTGGTGTTGGTCCCTCAGGATTGAAATTCCTTTTTGTAGCTTTTATCTAGCTCTAATGTCAGATTCTCTCTCTTTGGGGCCTAATCCTTACATGTTTTTTTGGTCACATTTTTCCCTGTCTCATTCTTTTTATGATTTTTGGGCTTACATGATCCCTTCCTGAACTACTTTACTACAAATTTGCAAGACAGTTTTCAAAGGTAATCAAACTCTCAAAATGCTATTATGATTCACTAAATTGGTATCTTTTTGGGCAAATTTAATTCCAAAATATTTTTTAAAACAAAATGATTAGAGTCTACTATGTGGAAGATACTTTACTTCCTATGGGATATGGGGCAGAAGACACAAAGATGATAGATATGCATATTGAATCTTCCTAGAACTTCCTAGATTATACTTTAGAGGACTTTCATCACACTGTGTACCAGAAAGTAGCTTTCACTGGGATTAGAGAACAGCAAATTATGACCCAAGGATCAAATTTGGCCTACTACATGTCCTGTAAATAATGTTTTATTGAAACACAGTAATTTTTATTTATATATTATCTATGGCTACTTTTGTATTAAAATGGCACAGTGGTGACAAAAACCTAATGGCCCCCAGATCCTAAAATACTAAATGGTCTCACAAGAAAACATTTGCCACCCTGTGACCTAGACTATAGTCTTGTTTGTACTGGTGTTGCACTTCCCTGTGGCACTGTTTCAGGGCTTAAGAAACCCATGGTCTGTTGAGCGAGACAGTCACATGAATGCATAGCTGATGCAATGTAGATGTTTCTACATGCCAGAATGGAGGAAGGACCAAAAACTGGTGGAATATGGGGAGGATGATATTGATAGGGGAAAATCCTTCAGTTTTGAAAGGGGCAGCATTTAATTTAGGGCTTGAGGAAAGCCAGTACTTTGTTGGGTAGAAAAAGCTGTAAAGGCAAAACCCTAAGAATGGGAAAGAATACAGTGGAACTGGGAGATGGTGAGAAACCCAGTGACATGGACATGTTGGGTACTCAGGGGTTGTATGGTGAGGGGTAAACAGATGGATGGGCCAGCAAAATGTCAGTGAAAGCCAGATAGGTTTGGTGTTAAACTGTTCATGATGATAAGCTAATGATGGTTTTGAAGTAGGGTACAGAATATAAGTCTTCTTGTAATTATCATGGTGATCCAAAAGCCAAAGTCTTAGCAAAAGCAAACTTTTTCCCTTATGGG